ACACTTGTGGCATGAGCTGTAAATAACTCAGGGGAGATGCATTTTTGCACCACTTTTATTTGCTGGCTACTTCAAGGGGGCTAGAGTCCCCAGGGAAACTCTCTGAAGGGTTTGCCCTGCTGCTGGACACATTGACTCTCCCCCTTCCCCTACTCTGCTCACCCTCTCCTCTTGCCCCTGGCCTGTTAGCAGGGGCAGCCCCTTGACTAGGTGCTGGCAAGCAGAACTTTGGGAGCTTCTGCAGTTTGCTGTCAGCATATTGTTGAGCTCTGTGCTAACCAAACCCCAGCTTGGTTTCCTGAGCAGACTTGGAGGATGCCAAGGGAAAAAAAGAAAGCAGTGCAGGATGCACTCAGCTTTGCTAGCAACAAAGGCATCTTGCAGCACAAGCCTCTGTCCTCCTCTCCAAACACTGCCCTAACAGCAGAGTTCCCTGGCTGAAAATTTGGGATGGCAATGGTTTTTCTGAGGCAAAATGATAGATCCTCCACCAGTCATAAGGCTTTCTTCCTCTCCCCATCCCCCGAAACCTGGGCACAGAGAGTAAAAATAAGAATGAACGCTGCACCCAGATGCATAGTTGTAACAAAAAAAACCCCTCAAAACCTAGGAAAAACCCCCACAGTGGCAAGACAAATCCTGCTTTTACAGAGCAGGAGGCTGGGAACCACCCACATATTTGTCATTGTAGGCAAGAAATTCGGATGCCTCAGGAGAAACCTAACTGCCAGATACGCTATCCTCAACCTGTCTCACCCCAGCTGCTCCTTGCCATCAGGAATGGGGGTGGCCCTGTCCCTCCTGCCTCCCAACAGCACAGGCTGGGCTGTGCATTGAGGGCAACAAAGATAGGGAGCAGGCAGCCCTCTGAACTCCTTCTCTACCTCCACTGGCACCCTGGTGCAGGGTAATGAAAGCAGCATGTTGCTGCACCTCCCCAAGCAGCTGCTGCCCCTCACCCAGCTGCATGGGGGGGTGGCAGTGTGGGACACCCCATGGGAGCCACTGCCAGCCCCCTGTGAGGCAAAGCATGTTCAACACTACCTTGAGCTTCACTGATAACCCACCACTGTCTCCCACCACAGATCCAGCTGGCCAAGCTGCCCCAGACCCAAACATGACCCACCACCATCCCCAATGGATCAGCAACACCTCTCCTGTGCCTGACAGCACCAGGGTGCAGGGCTGACCCCAGGAAGATCAATGGGGCTGCTCATTGTGTAGAGGCCACTTGTGTTTACACTTGGTGACAGTCCCTGCTAACATAGCACCCTGCTCCAGCAAGAGATTTATGGCAAACATCCTCTCACACCACTGACATGCACTAGGCCCCTGCGATGAAAACTGGTGTGGGGAGAGGGGGCAGGTGTCAGGGATGACAACAGCTTCTGAGTCTGGAAGAGAGTGGGAGGAAGGTTTTCCTCTGCTGGCTTTACATTGCCCAGTGGAGGGCTGGGAGTACAAAGGGTGGGTCTGGCCACAGGGGAGCACGTGCAGCCATAGTGCCTGTTGCCCCTTCTGCACACACCTCTGCCCTCTGCCTGCCTGGGGATGGAGGGAAGCCACGATGCTCCCCAGATGATCCCACTTGTGGGAAGGACCCCTGGGGGATCTCAAGGTGGCTGCAACTTCAGGACAACCTCTGCTTGGCTCTGACCCACTCCAGATGTTCCCATGCAGCCACGGGTTGCAAGCATGAGGGGTGGTGAGCCATTCCTCAGCCCGTTTCTGCACTGCGTGGCCCTGCTGAGGAGATAGCAGAAGTCTGGAGAGTTCATTTAGCAACTGAAGTCATTAAAGAATCACACTCAGTTGTCTCTAAGCCATAAGGAAGCCAATTCCCAACATTAATGATTGTTCTTCCTTACACTGCCAGCCACTAAATATAGCTGCCCATCCACTCAGCACACAGTGCTGATGTTATCTGCTCTGTTTTTACTGGCTCTGCTGGTCTCTGGAAGTTTTGTTATATCAGTGGAAAAGTTCACTGCTCAGGGAGCTGAAAGAAAAAAATTCATCTTCTTAACTTAATAATTTTTCCACTCCATTTTGCCTTCCACCACACACACACACACACTTGCCCTTCCTCATTTATTCACTAGTGCTCTTGTCTTAATAAAGAACTGCCTCCTGCTGTTGCTGTCAAGTTTGTGGCTGCTGTGTTTGTGCACAACTTGGGACATCAGTTAGTGGAAACCTGATTTAATCCTGACAGGGTGGATATTTCATGTGGGTGTGCTGCTAGTGCTCACACCTCCAGCCTGACCAGGTATAGCCTCATCCTCTTTCCAGTAGGGAACACGCTACAGGGACCAGTTTTGGAGCTGTGCGTAAAGAATCAAAACCCAAAAGAAGGAAAATAAAATATCATCTGGAGGAGAAAAAAGGAGAAAATCCTTTCCAGAGAACCTCCTAGAGGGCTGCCTGCCTTGCTCTGCCACTGCCGTGTCACAGCTTGTATTCCTTTCTGAAATCACTGACATTAACCACTGTGGACAAGCAACACAGCTGGACTTCTCAGAGATGGCACAGATGAAGGGAAGTATTACACTTATCTAATCTGAATGCCACAAACCCAGTGTCAGCCTCAACCACATAACTGCTACCTGTCATTTCTTCAGGAAGATATCTCTATCTTGATTTCAGGACACCTGCTATGAGAGAATTCACCAATCCCAATGGCTAATTCTCCCTATGGTTTGTTTCCACATTCTATGCCCCCCTCTTATTTTTAGCCTGGTATTTACCTAATTCCTTGCTTCCAAACACTTGTTATACCTTTTCTTTGAGGGTGAAATGCATCAACTCTCAAACGCAGCACAGTTTAAGCACACTTTACTGGTCTTGTAAGACCCCGAACTACTAGGTGAAACATATTCCACCCACATAATTCTCTTCATATTATTTGCTTTGTGATCCTGCAGCCTGTAAAGGTGCATATTTTCAGCTTTGCTCCCAAGCCAGGAGGGAAAGGATTTGCTACTATTTTTAATGGCATCTGACTTTTTCACCTCATCATGTAATTGCAGGAGTGGGGGCTATAGAACATCTCAGTAATGTCTGCATAGTCTTTCCTCTTCAGCTCTTTGGGTTTTTTCCTCCATCCAGGGACTTCTTCCTTTCATTTTACCCTCTCCTTCTGTTGGGCATCGCTGTCTTTGCCCCCTTTTAATTACTATCATGTAATTGCCCCCAGTCTTCATCTTCACTTCTTCATCTTTTCCCTCTGCATTTTGTTCTTTCCCAGGTCACTCCCTCCCTTGGTCCCATCTATTCCTGCCTGCCATCCAGGGAAACCTCTTTAACCTTTTGCTGCAATTGCTCCTCTGTTATGACTAACCCTAGGATGTGCTCACAGAAACCAGGAATGGGCAGGAGCCACTGGAAAAAGCTGGCAAGTTTCAGTGTGAAGGGAAAGTGTGCCTCTAACAGCATCTGCCCGTGGTGCTCAGGGACCTCACTGTTGCTACCCAGCCAACATGCCCTGGGGAGTGGCAAAATGGAGGCACACAGGCATCAGGGCATGGGGTGAAGGAGAAAAGCAACAACATGAGTTAGCAGGACTTTGGAACAGACTCAATGTGAGGACCCAGAGAGAGGTACAAACAGAAGACGACATGCATGTTACAAGCCCCAAAAGTTAAGGATAGTGTTCACAAAACAGCTACCAGACCAGGCCGAGAAGAATGTAGAGCAATGGTTTAAGTAAGGAAGGGTTGTGAGGCTGTAACTGTCAGCTAAGAATATTGCAGCAGCTTTTCAGCAACACCACAAGCCTGAGTATCCAATAAATAAGCAGCCCATAAACAAGCAAACCTAAATTCCTAGTTGTTACAGTACAGATATGACTGTAAAATGAGGTGTGCTTTTCCCTCATGTTGGTAACACTCCACAGCCTACAACCCTAGAGACAGTCACACGTGACTTCAGTCTCGGTGTCTGATTTTCCTTTACTGCCACAACTCCCAGTGTACCCACGAGAGACAGCTTTATCCACACAGAAATGCAGCTGCTTCTCTGGTAGAGTCCAGCCATATCTTACAGTTCACCAGCATAGTAGGGGATGGAAAGAGTACAGAGATCACATCCAAGTGAAAGCAAAGGGCATGTGGACTGAACTGACAAAACAGCTTTCAAAGTTAAGGGAAGCCCCAAGTTTGCTCTTTGTCACAACACAACCCCCAGGCACATCCTGAAGAGGCAGGCAGGAAAACAAAATTGAAAATCAAAACACAGAGAAAACCCCTCAGACTAAACTGGTCTGCAAAAATACATAGTCTTTCCCACCCCAGAGCAAGACATACAGCATCCCCAGTGACTGCTCAGAGAGAGGCAGTTTTTCAGAGTTCTTCACCTTTTCTCTCACTCTGTAGCTTTCATCACAGAAATGCAGGGTTCTATCATTCAGACTAGTATTAAACTATTAAATGCACCATTTCACCTTGTTTTCCTTTTATTGGCTGTCATCTTCAGGGCTCCTCATGGCAGTTTGCTTTCCCACTTCTACCTCCTAACTCCCTTTCCCTTCCAAGCAGACTAGCCCCATCTTCACTCACCAGCAGCTTGACCACCACCACTTCCAGAGCATCTATGACCTAGAGAACAACCTTCCCTCACAATAACATGAGTTACCACCACCTGATTTCACTTTTAATTGGCTACTGTTTTTTTCATTTAAGTCAGTTGAAAACTACCCTTTACTCCTCAGCCTTCCCATTTTGGGCTTAGCTGCTTTCAGAAGCGTGAATGTTAATACTGTTCAGCCCCAAGACAAGGGGAGTTGTCTGCTTCCCCGCTCCCTGTCGCCTAGCAGGAGTCAGAGGGTGCCCCCTCCTGCGCTGTGGCGGAGGAGGCCTAATACACACTTGTCATTCCAGTTCTCAGAACATTTGCTATTTGTACAAGCACGCACATTGATTTCTTTTGAAGTAAAAGCCCATGCCAGCAGAACAAAACCACTGAGAGAAGTGCAGCTTTACCTGGAAAGTAGGAGGTCTCACCTGGGAAAGCTGTGATGGGTTCTGCAAAGAAAGAAAAACAACTAGTATTAGAGAGGGGAATATTACACACAAGACCCCCAGTTCACATCTCCAGTTTGCAGTGGCCAAGCAGAGCAGGTGTGTGGCTGTGGCCCACAGAGGTCACTTTCTGGGAACAGCGCGAGGTGCTAGCCAACCTCTCCAGAATGGGTGAAACCTGGCCTCAGCTGGGGACCAACCAGATGCCATAAGCTTGGACTCAGACACAGACTTCAGAGAAAAATATATCTGAGGTTGAGAATAATTTGGATTCAGCCTGGCTGGTCTGAGTCACCCAATGACAAAGCCTCACCTGGCCCAGTGATGAAACCCTGAAACCCCCTAAATTTCCAAAAGCAGTTTGGTTTCTGGCTCAACTCTGGCATTGTTATTCATATGGGAACTCTGTTACTTCTGGGCAGTAATGCCATGCTCCTCTCCATCTCACAGTGGCAAGAAACAAAGGCAAGTGATTTTTTTCTTCTTTCAAGATACTTTGAAGAAGTCATCTATTACAAATTACTGGATCTGAAAAGCAATAATCGGTACTTACTACTGATTACTTTTTCACAGAAGTAATAGACTTCTGATTATTTTTAGATTACTTCTGCATTATGTCTGTGAGTCACAGAAGCAGACTCTGGCTCCACTGAGTGCTATGAAATCATCACTTGGGTTCAAAATGCGAATGACACATTTGTCAAAGGAAAAAATTATTGTGACTTATTAGTGTTCTTTCATGCTAAAAAGAAATCAGATTACTTCCCAGGATTATGTTTGAAAAAACAGTAGCCAGTGCTGGAGTCAGCTATTCTCATGGCTCTGACAGACAGAGAGCAGCACTGTATCTCTACCATTTCATTATTGTTTTGGTGAAATCGGAAATGACCCCTAAGTTATGTTAAAGTTTGCAGTGGGAGCCCTTTGCTGGAAATGATCTGAAACAAATGATTCTTACGAGTTTTAAGAGTCACGTCCAACTTCCTAGAATGGGGGACACAATTCTGTGTAGCAGTTTGGCATTATTTTTAGGGTTGGCAATGCTTGAAACATTATAATTTATTAATGCTTTTTGTTTTTGAAATAAACAAAGGTTTAGGTTCATGAGGCTCAAGATACAGTAACACTGGAGCTAGGTGAATTGCTGAGCTCAAAAGAAGTTAGATAGGAAATGCTATTAGTGTTAATCATTGGTCTTTGCTTCTCTTTAAAGCCATAGAAGGCAAGGGATTAAAACACCACTGTCAAGCCTTAAATACAGGGAATTTGACATATGAAGTATTAGCTCCTTTGGCAGATGGAAGACCAGCAGAGTTCAAAGCATCAAAGAAACTGGGACTGACGGTGCTCAAGAGCACCTCTGGGGCAGTCCTAGTCCTCTGTTCCATTATTAATGCTGATTCCTGCACCATCTTCACTGTTGCCTGACTGCACAGGGTGGCAAGTGATATGATCAGGCCTTCTCAGGCACAATTTGTCTAGCGATTTTTCCCTTGAGAAGCAGTCCTTGGAAGAGAGTGTCCTGCTTGGGTTAGGAGGCACCGTGATCCTCCCTTCGTAGGGGAGAGGGGGAGCAGCTTCACTGAATCGAAGCCCAAAGGTGAGAGAGGTTCTGCTCCACCGGCAGAGTCACTGGCTTCAGGAGGGGTTGGACACTTTGCAGGTGTTTAGCAGTGAAGCATGCCTCCCCCAGGTCGTGCAGAAGAGCAGGATCTTGCTACTGTGGGCAGCTTTCAGCACAGATCTCACTAATTGAATACTGCTGGTCCCATGCTCAACTGGGATAGCTCTAAATCCATACCCAAGCTAGACAGTAACCATAGCCATCAGAGTGGCTGCATGGATATGCTAGCTAAAGGAAAAGGGCAGGGCAACAGCTCCACCAGCAAACTGCTGAAACACTCTTTTTCTTTTTTTTTAAGTCCTCTCTGTCTTTTACACTGAATTATTCCACCTGGCTTTTGGCCTGCTTTGGGGAATGGTGAATTCTAGGACAAAAATTTCTTTTGTTATTCTGTTAACATTGCTGTAAAACCCCTCTACTATTTTCTTTCTTATTAGAGAAGACTCCTTTTGAACTCATTGGCCCTTCTAAGCATGTAATACTGACTGACAGCTGGTTTCTTTTGTCCAGCACTTTCCTTTTAAATTTGGTGTATGTCCTTATCACACAGAATAGCCCTCAGTAACCCTCAGCTGCTCTTTCAGTTTTGCACTGCAGAGACATGTGCTTCCTTCCTCTCACACCAATGCAGGCAGAGCCCCCATCCCCCAGAGACTGAATCCCCCTCATTTCTTTCATAGCCAAGGGAAGTCCCAGCTGAGATCCAAAACCTCCTGGTAACACCAGCAGAGGAGAGATGGCTCACTGATAGCTTGCAAGCAAAGGGTTTCCAGCCCCAGCTGCCCCCACCACCATCCCTGACCCCACAGCCATTGGATGCAGCACATACCCATACAGTTCTCCAGAGGGATGTCGGTGCCTATCCGGATGTCATCAAGGGCGAGCTCTCCCGAGTGGCCATTGCGTATAAATCCCTCAAACACAATCTGTGAGAAATCAGGACAGAAATGTCAATGCTAAGCTGGGAAGCAAAGAGTGGCTGCTGCTCTCAAGTGAAAGGGCAGGAAATCTGCTCCTGGCTGTCCCTGCACACCTGTGGATCACCTCAGACTCGCCCTGCTCCTTTGCCTCCCCTTCCCCAGGGAAAGCTGTTGTGCAGGGACGGGTTCAACAGAGATCACTACCTGGCCTGGCAGCACTTGGCTTGCAATTTGTTCAGTTAAATACCTCTTATAAGGACTAAAGGCTCAGTGAAAACCCCCAGGTCCTTGCACAAATGGTGCAAGTGGCATAACACTGAGTTACAGGAGCAACAGCTTTGGCCTATGGTATTAAATGGGCTATGATCAGAAAAAAAGAAGGGAAGGACACAAAATGCACAGCTACATTAAGTGTAAAGTGCTGTTCTCATCGTTATGACATAAGAAGTACTGAAATGTTAGAGAAGGGTCAATTTATTCCTACTTAATCACAGGCAAAATATATTTACAAAAATAAGTATAGTCATTAGCTCTAAGAACTGCTGAGTAGAGAGACTTGCAATATTTACATAATGATGTTATTCATTCAGCTAATGCTGGTATATTCACGTTTAATGCACAAAGTAGTCAGCCGGTGCCCATCATTTTTATCTGTAGGCATATAGAGTTTACTGGTATTTTATTAAAATCCAAATCCAAACTAGTCATACAGCTCCAGTGCAAAGCTTTTGCTTTATAGCTCCCTGCCTACTGTCAAGGCATTGGAATAGGCTGCCCAAGGATGTGGCGGAATCACCATTCGTGGAAGAGTTCAAAAGGCATGTGGATGTGGCACTTGCAGATATGGTTTAGTGCTGAACATGGTGGTGCTGGGTTAATGGTTGGACTTGATGATCTTGGAGGTCTTTTCTAACCTTAGTGATGCTATGATTCTAAGGGTCCAAATAACTTCCTAGGGCTATGTATTTCACAAATCTCCTCTTACCATATTAGGTGCCCCCTTTGATCTGGGGTGCCTGGGACCCATGCCTGCCTGCAACAACACCTCCCTGAAGGGCTAGGCATATGACTGCACAGGGGATGGAGTGTCTGAGCTCAGGCCACCAACCCGCATGGGAGGCAGCAGTTTAGAGGGGTCAGTGGCCTGACAGCAGCAGCTCCCTGGGTCAGGGTGGGGACTGGGAACTGGCTGGAGCAAGGTTCTCCACCAGGTGGTCATTAAAGTGCTGCCCCAAGCCCGCAAGTACATGTTTTCTTCTGCATTGAAGAGTGCTGGATGCTGTGCTGATGCTCACTAACAACTGACAACAGTAGCCCTGGCTCCCTGGCAAACGGCATGCTGTCCAGAAGGGCTAACCATGCCAAAGACACTCCTGGAAGCAGCCTCCTCTCCATGGGGTGCTGGTACAGCTGTGCCAGAGGGGCTCAGGCGGCTGTGGTGAGCAGCACAGCTCCCTTCCTCCCTTGGCTCATCCCTTCTCTTCCACTGGTCTTCTGACAGTGGGACAGGGCCTTGATCCCACAGTGCTGCGGCCAGGCTATGGTATCTGAGAAGCAGATTCACAAACAAACCCGCATTTCCTCTTCCTTCTCCCATGTCAGCACTTTCAGCTGAGGCTGGAGAAGGGCTGTTTGCTGTCTGCCCTTATGAGCTGGCCGTACGCCCTCTCTGCTTCCCACTTTTCCTGGCTGCAGGGTTTGCTCCCTAGAGCTGCATGCCTGCCTCTGGTCAGACCACCTGATGACCTCCAGTTCAGGGGGAGAAATGCACAAAACCAAACTGCAAAAAAAAAAAGAAGGGAGAATATTTCCAAGGTGGGAGATCTGAGGAATATAAAAGGCAACAGGCTGAACAAAGGCCCAAGTCTGTGCAGAAGACAGGCACTCTTGGAATAACAAACAGGGTAGTTTAGTTTCTATGGTAACTTGAGAAACACAATGAAAACAGCCACATTCCCTAATGATGAATGGGCCCTGGCTCTGAAATGCTGAAATCAAGATGCTGGAGATGTCTACCTGGTCCAGCACACCTTCCTGAGGATCTTACCCGGTACTCCATGTCGTAGCTTGGCAAGATGATGCGGCCTTCCCTCCACTCCTCCCCTTGGTCCTCCATGATGACCCATAGTGCCTTGTGCTCCTGGCTGGCTTCCCGCCAGACCCGCAGCATCACCCCATTGCTGCCCCATGCCTGGTATTGGAAAACCATGCAGACAGCAGTCTGGGGCAGATAGATGGTGGGGCTGATTAGCCGAGCTCGCTGGCCTTCCCGCCTTCCGCTGCTTTGCAGCTGCAGGTAATTCTTGATATCTGTTCAGAGAGGAAAACACCTTTATATTATTTTCTGTAGCCACTGCCACAAATGTCTCACCTCCTGCCAGGTGGCTTTGGCAGTGCTGGACCCCACACCTGCAGCAGTGGGGTCTTGCACTGGCACCCTCTATATGTTCATCCAGCCATGCCACTGCTGTGCCCTGTGCAGCCCAGGCAGGGCATAAAGGAGCATGCCTCTCTCACCAGCCACCACCTTCTGGTAGGAGACTAACAGCAGAACCAGAAAGAGTTAAGATGAAGACCAGCATAATTAGGAAAAGTTAAAGAGCAGTCTTTAACTGTCAGAAGAAATGACGCCATAATAACGGCATTGTGTATTTATTTGCAGTTTATTTGTATTTATTGATGTGTATTTATGTATGTGCATTTATGCTACTGGGAGCTTGCTCAGTGAACAAGCCTGAGGTAGGTTTTTCTAAGGCTGGTGCTGGAAACTCATCTTGGGATGGGCATCTCAAGCTGTGTTCATCCTGCCACTTCTCATCCCCAGTGGTAAATACTCCAGCTGACAATTTTGTTTTGAGGATATGCACAACAAAATGAAACCTTGGCTCTCAGTTTTACTGTAATGCAGCAAAACAACCTCTAAAGCACAGCACAGAAGAAGGACATGGTCCCAGTGAGTGAAGCATGCATAGGTGAAAACTGAGTTGTTGCAAACTTGAAGGCAGCTGAAATACATACAGCAGAGGATTCACTTACTTTAATATTATATTTAAATTGTGTCACACTTTTTGTCAGTCTTCAGGGAGGAGATTTGATATATTTGATATCCCAGGAGAAGTTCAAGTCTGAGACTGGAACTAGAGATACTTGATCTGAATACCAATAGCAGCAAAAGCCCATGAATACAAATCCCTGGGCACAGCTGATTTTATGTGGAATCAGTGGTTTCCAGCCCTCTCTGATGAAAAGTCTCCTCAAGGAGTTTCCCACTTGCAGCTTGGATATCTGAAGTCCCTTAGCAACTGAGAGCCAAGCGTGTAGCTGAACTGATACTTACCTGTTCCCCCATCATGACCAGTGGCAGGACAGAGTCCCTTGGGCTGCTCCAACTGCACTGCCTGCAGTGCAAGGTGACACAGATAGGCCAATGACAGATATTGCTGAATTTTGCATTTCGCTCAATAACAGGAGGCACACACTTGCTCTTGTTAGACAGCAGGCTAATGCCACTGGTGCTTCATGCCAGCCCGTGCCAGCCCTCCTACAGCCCAGGAGGGTTATCTCTGCCCCAGGACCACACCAAAGGGTCTGTCGTCTCCTTCCCCCACATCTTATTCTGCTGCACTTGACAGGCACAGCTCTGAACAGTAGCTTGCCTCCTGCTTGCCCTGCTCCCTCTGCAGCTTCAGTGCCCACAGCAATGGCAAGAGCAGTATGTGTACACAGAATGTATGCAAAGTGTGCTCAAAACACCTCCAAAACTTAAACTAGAGAGACCTGAACTTGGAACCCAGTTCCTGAGTACTCAAAGACAGGTCCCACCCAGAAAACAGCAGTTGACCTCACTGCTGCTCAGCAATCAGGTGACATCTCAGCCCAAGGTAGATCTATCGGTGGGTCTGGCCCTGCTGCGAGTTTGTCACTGGCAGAGAGCTGAAACCCAACACTGTGATCTACACAGCTTTCTTAAATAAATTTAGGAAAAGACAATAGTAATATTTGCTATCACTCTACTCCTGGGATGTATGATCAGCATATTTCAAAAGTGTATATGCTCCTATGCACTTTCACTGATTTTGCTGCATGAAGGACAAATATGTCCCTGACTGGCCACATAAAGAAAGAGCAACATTTTTCAGCAATATTTTCCAGCACCTATGAAATGTACCTAAGTCACTTGGCACTTTATGCCAACAAACAGCAGCAGAAAAAAAGATGAAAGTATGTTTGCCCACTCCTGCTTGAGTGAATCACTTGAAAAAGAACCATGCCGTTCTCTAATGGAGGAGTGTTCTTGTGATTTACCTCAGAGGGGTAGTAGTGGAGGAGGAGATGTGGGAGATAAACAAGTGGAGGAAGAAAAAAAAGAACAAGCTGTACTCCATGCCTAAGGAGCGATAAGGCATAATAAGTCATCAAGGTCTCCTGAATTAAAATCCTCTTTTTGTAATTCACTACAAGCCTCTTCAAATAAAAAAACAACAACAAGAAAAAGCCATCAACAACAAACAAGGGAGCAAGTCAGACTGCGGTCATACACTTATCTCACAGCTGAAATGGTCTCACAGGCAAATCTTTAATAAAAGCACTAGCTATGCTCACGAATTATCAAATCCAAATCCTCAAAGTTCAGGACCAACCTTTGGTGCCATTATCCAGGCAGCCTGATTGAGCACAGGCATATGAGCCATCCTTGAATCCACTCAATGCCCACAGCTGACTACAAGGGACTATGCTATTTGCGTAGCTGGACACCTCCCATGATCTGCACCCTGGGAGCTGGTGGTACCCAGTGTCGCTGCCTCTGCCACTTCAGGAAGAGCCTGTGTGCCCCTGAGTCACATCCGTCCTATCAGAGTTGACACCAACCTTCTGTTTGTTCCTATTCCTATCAGACTGTGAAATCAAAGAAACTCCTAAACTGCAGCCAAAACTGGTGCTCCTCTCAGCCACACAGGAACTTTCAGAGCCCTGGGAACTCTTCTGTGGCCTCTTCCCAATGCTTGCTGGGGCCCACAGAGCTCTCCAGGACCTACTGGCAGTCCCTGGAGCTTACAAGGAGGCTTAGTCTTTGAGTCATGAATCCAGCTGCTCCCTTGCAAGTAGCAGTGGGTTTGGGCACCACACTTGCTCCTGGTACCAGTTTCTGGAGCAGAAAGCTGAGTGCAAGTAGACTTGACTTTCTATGCCATTTGAAGATGAAATGGCTGGATCACTCTAATGGCTAGCTGGACCTTTGGAAAAGCCCCACGAATTTGCTGAGACTGACTGAATAAGGACACTGTGGAGCTAATTGTTGGAACAGCATGTGGGAACCTGGTGGTTCCAGTAGTTGCTCTGTTTGATACAGTAAATGGAAGCCTTCGGCACAGAAAGCACCTGAAAGGCTGATTTCCCCCTGTTAAAACACTTGAAGGGAGCTTTGCAATGATGTGCTGATCAATTCTTCCAGGATCAGAAATGCATTTTAATCTCTTTCCCAGAACTTTGCTTTGCAGCCTCTGTTCCAGCTAACAAGGCAGCTATATCCCCCACAGAACTGGCACTGGTAGTTCAAAGCACCAGCTCAAAAAAGGCAGGACAAACCTGCTCAGCCATTTTACTGCTGTTTTGCAACTGATGCTATGGCATAACTCTCATCGAAGATTTATGGGATCATCTGGATGTAGGGGAGCCAGGAGTGTGAACATGTAACCACCCTAGCCAGACAGAGGCAGAGCCCCTCATACGTGCACGGCAGTGAGTCCCAGAATAATCACCAACTGGGCTCTGAAAACCAACCATCTGGCCAACGCAGTTTCCTCTTGGCACACCTGTCCCCTCCCTGCTAGTAAGCCATCTGAGAGGACATTAGGGGCAGCGGGGGATGAAGCCTCACAGTTTGGGTCAGGCTGCTAGCATGAACCATGGCAGCCAACCCCTCTGCAAGGTCAGCCAGCCTGTGCTTGGGTCCTGCATGTCTCACCCCGTCTCCCAGGAGAAGCACCATCCCTCATCATTCTCAGCAGCACATCTGGAGGTGTTCCAGCAAAACATGTTGGGCAGCATGTACACAAGCAATTACTGAGATTTCAGATTCCCTCTGCATTTCCCCCTCACTGGATATTGTTGAGTTACAGCTGCTGCTCCTACAGAGGAACCACGGTGAATTGCCTTCACTTACATCCCTCCAAAGGTCACTGCACTCTTCTTCATTGCAGAGCTTGTTTCACACTGTGCTTTCATAGCAGCACCACAGCCCAGTGACAGCCACCTCTGATCTGTCAACACTGCTCTGGGCCCTGTCTGCTGCCTGCACAGCCCCAAATGCCACCCCGACCATGCTGTGTCATGGCCAAGGGGACATCCCAGTGGGGCCTCATCCTGGTGTTCTTCTGGAGCATGTGAGTTGGAGGCTGCATCAGCTCTTGCCTTTCCCAGAGAGCAGATCAGCTCAGATGTCCTCATGACTGCAGGGTGGTCTGGTAGCAGGGGAATGGCAGCTGCATGAATATGCAGATTGAAATTGGATAGTTATTAGATTTAAAATTTTTTTTTGCAAATCACACAAATTCACCTCAAAAGGCTGCTGCTGTCATTTCAGTGACAGGTCTCTCCTCAATGACAGACTTTCATTTACGAAGGAAAATCAATCCTCCATAAAACTAATATTTATATTAACTCGATCACTGCGTCTGCTGGAAAATCCCCTCAATTTTGATTATGTGTTAATTAGTCTGCCAAGTCCTTGCCATTTCAGTCTCTAAATCAGTCTGTCAAAAGGCATAAAACCCCACAATTGCCCAGAACCAAGCTCTCTGCCTGCTCTCTGGAGCCTTTCTAATGGATGAGCCATTACATCTTCTCAATTAAGCCTCACGTCCTCAACAGCACCGTGCAACTGTGAGTCCTATCACTTCCCCTCAGGTGTGCAGGGAGGGCACAGTGTCCCTGACAAATCAAATGCCAATTAGAGCCTGACATTTATGCTAAGTGAGCTGCATGCCACCAAACCGCGTCCTGCAGGAGCCTGGCATGGCACCCTGCATGCCCTTACATGAAAGGGTCTGTGCAGACACACCTGTGCTCAGCATTTGCATGCACAACTGAAGGCATTAACCAAGCTAGCACTTCCACTGCACAGGCTGCACATTGCTGCTTGCTGGTGCAAGCACATGCTTTCCCGAATCAGGCTCTGTGACTCACAGGCTGCTAAGTCACTGCTGCGAAGCAATAGAGTGGTGCACACACTAAGGTTTGAGAGATAGTGTCTTGCTTTCCAGAGAGCATTCCAGCCTGGTTTTTTAGGCAGTGTGTGTTACTGGTGTTTGGGTCCAAAAAGTGACTAAGGACTCTGACAGGCATGCAGTGAAGAAATGGGTGAACCCCGACCCCGGTGGAACAGTTTCTTTCCCTTTGTCTCCAGCCCAGCTCCAGTGAGTGGGAGCTTTGCTGGAAATGAGGAACAGATCATTGCCATGCCCTTTTCCTCATGAAAGGCAGTATGGCCAGAAGGACAGTCACAGCCTGGCCCTAGCCCACAGCCAGGGAACTCACACAGCCCAGCTGACACTCAGCAAACCCGGGTGCTGGAGTGTTCCAGCTCCACCATGCTGTGGGTGGCCAGGGCACAAAGGACTTTTTAGCATTTGTTGTCCTCACTGTGCAAACATGAGACAGGAGAGAAATGCACAGCTTTGCTAAGAGGCAATCTGTACTACACATGAGGGGAGCTGGGAGAGACAGAGCTGGATATGTGGTCTCCTACCCACAGTGTGCAGCTGCTCACTCATTGCACAGAAGTGCTTGACTTTCACACACCCCACATGTAAAACTCCCTCCTACTTCAAAGGAGACAGGATTGACCCATGAGGTCAAAATGTGGCCCCAAGGCACAAGCCCTGAGACTCTCAAGAGAGTAAGTGCAGATCCAGTTCAGTCCAGCCCTGCTCTGTTAACACCATAAAAACCTTTCTGCTGGTTTGGACACAGTAGAATCAAGGCCTTCAGGCAGCAGTTCTCATGCAGGAAAAATATGAAACTTTCCCTTTTAAAGACCCCATGGGAAAAACACAGGAATGGTAAAGGGTCACCATCAGCTTAAAAACAGCTCAGCATTTGTTTCTCTTAAAAAATAAGCTCTTACGAAACTTCAGAGCACTACAAACACTCCTCTGCTGAAAACGCTTTGAAACAAATAAACCTTTCCCTGCAGTGCCTGCAAGCCAAATGAGCAGCATTCCTGACCCTCAAAGCCACCAAGGCCGTGGCCCACAAGAGAAGCTCTCAGTGGGTTTTTGCAGCCCAGCCCAAGAGCTGTGTGGTCAGGAGAGCTGCAAGGTTAAAAGTGCTTCCTTTTCTGTGTGCACGTACAGCTGCCAACATCCAAACAACACGGCGTTCACAGGGCTCTGACCCTGATGCCGTGCTCACCCGAATGAGAAGCAGTATGTGGTAAAGCTACAGACCCCACAGTGCTCTTCTAGGACCACATGGTATTTACTTAAGCACTGCAAGAAAATGGAAAGGAAAAAAATGGGCAAAGCACACGGATTCCAGCTTTTCAGTGCTGGCTTCTTAGTGTAGCATCACTGAGAGCAATGCAATCACACACCTGCCAGCTAAGGATACGACACAGGATCTCTACACTCTTCAGGATCAAGACCCCAGTGAAATTCAAAGATGGTGAAGAGCTGAGGTGCCCAAGTTATCAACCCAGATTTATTTTCAGGTCTTAAGACCTTTATCTTGACACCAATGGCATGCTGCCACTGCGTGCAGCAGGAGGGGGAATGAAATTTCATTGAAACCTGAACTTGTTGCTCCATGAAGATTGCTAGGTGCAGCTAAGGGGAATCTTTCTGCAGATAGGAAGCATCTGAAAGTCCGTAGAGGGAAAAATCCTGGCAAAAATCCTGGCAATCTCTTGTGGGGCCATGGAAAAGGGAGCAGTGGTATTTTCCAGGCTTGCCAAGGGCAGGTAGCAGTTGGAACCATGCTGGGCTTCTGCTGAGCTGGGCACTTTGGGTCCACTTTTACCAACGAGGTTCCCAGACATGTAATGGGAGCCTGCAGGAGAGGACGTGGAGTTAATCCATGGTGTGAAGAGCCCAAGGAACACAGGGCTAAAAAAAGAAATGCAGAGCTGCCTGAAAGAGTATCTTGGAAATAAAAATAGTGGAATGAGAGCAGTGGGTGTCTTGTCAGTCTTGAGAAGTTCTCTGTGCAAAAGACAGGGAGGAATTGCATGCAGTGCATAAAATGAAACTGGGAAATATCTGAGGAATTCAGGCCTGTCCCTCAGCAGACTTTTCTAATCAAGTGCCTCACAGAGAATGCTTCACTATGGTCATCTCCTTCCCCCTCTTGCTTATGCAGACTGAGCCAGGGCTCCTCCTTTCATTATTATTATTTTGTATTTTAATTTTAATTTTTGTTTTGCCATTTTCAAAAGAAGTAGAAACACAACCCACATCACTCTTAAAGGCACAGCACACTTCCTTGCTACTGCGGAGCAGCCACAGCCTGGGCCAGCACCTTTAAATCAGGGTAAATCAGGTTCCAGCAGCTCTGAGTTCCCGTTAGCTTTTGCCCTGCCTCTAACCAAGCACAGCTGCTCTCCTTCACCCAACTGCTCACCCCAGGGTGGGGAATTCAGAAGCAAAGACCACCCCGAACAATGGCTTTTCATTCCTTGCTCCCTGGAGTCTAAGTATGAACCTTCTAAGTAGAAACAAAGTGCTGGAGGGAGCACGAGGGAAAGGCAGGGGAAGAATGGCGGAGTGTGAACCAAACAATGCTTCAATTCTGTCCCCACTGAGGGCTGGCATTGCCTCTTTTTCATGTTTCTTGAATTGGTTTTAAAAGCTGTGTGGGCAAGAAAAAAGCAAATAGTTGCTTCCTTTTGTGTCATGTCTTCTTAATTTCTAAGAGCAGGACCAAAGTGAGGCACAGCAGTGATGTCTCTGTATTTTGGCCCCTCTGCAGCCCTGTGCTGTGTGGGCAAGGCAGCAGCACAGATGCCAGGAGGGCACATCCTTGCTCGACCCAGCTGGGAGGCACATCCCATTGCAGTGCTAACAATCCCTCAGCCTATGCCTGTGTCTGCTACTGACTTCCTCCACTGCTTTGGGCAAGTCGCTTCAGCCCCCTGGAGCTGCCACCTCCTCCTCTTCCTCTGCTCGTACAGCCCACGACCCTTGTCAGGTGCTTCAGTATCTGAGTCAGCACAGCACCTTAAGGGAGAGCTCTCCACATTGGCACAAAACCAGATCACTGAACTCAGCAGGACAATGCTCCTCAGCTGCAGTGATGAGACTTTGAAATTCATAACTGAGAAAAAGGAGAAGAGTAGAAGGGTAAAAACCAGAACTGCATGCTGAGCTGTATGAGGCAGCACCAGCCTCTCCTGGGCCACAACAGACTCTTCTAAGAAACTATGGCCAACTAATTGTAGGGTGACTCAGGGGAGAGGAAATGAAATGAAAAATTGAGTCTGAGTTATAAAAATAAGTAATTTTTATCCTACTTGCAGGAGACTTATATTAATTAAACATTATTACAGAGAATGAGATGGGGAGGGTTATTAAGTCTGGGGCTGGCTGTAAGTGTTCTCTCCTGTTGCCTGAGGCTCCACTGAGCTCCAGATATTAATCTTCTAAAGCACTCAAATGCTGAAGAGATAAACACTTGAAATATGAAAATATTTTTCTCCATAGCAGACACCGTCTCCCTGTGTCACGCCAAAGAATTTGTCAGATGTCCATATGGGCTGCACTTACAGCATTACCGTGTCTCTTAGAAAAAAACTGAGCACCTCAGGAGCTGAAGAGAGAAATGATGTGTGCATTTGTGTGGGGGTGATTTGTGTGTGGAGATGTAGCAGATTCTCCTCTTCCCATATGTTTCTGGAATACATATTTTCCTCTTTAGCACTGCCTACCAGGTGTTGGCTGCATGGCTTTCCAACTGGCTGGCAGCACTGCCAATCTGGCCAGCAACTCTGCCAGGTGGCTAACAGGTTTGCCTGAATGTTTGCATCTTGAGACTCAACCTTACCAAGGAGAGGGCGAGGAGGAGCCCATAGCATGCATGGCTCCCTGGGTGCATGACATGCAGACACTGGAATCACCAGCCATCAGGGCAGAGCCAAAGACACTAAGATCAGCCAGCTTTCCCTGGGGGAATCTTGAGTTTCACAAGCAATGACTGATAGTGAAGTGACACAATGGTGACACAGTCTACTATTATAAGGACACTGGCAAATGTTCTTCTTGCCAACCGTGCCACAAAGTCAATGAGGGGTAAGGAAAGCACACTAGGCCTGGGGCAAGTTCCAAGCTGTGAATCTGAAGAACTTGATCTATCAACCACATTGCCAGAGGCAGGCTCCCTTGCAACCCATGCCAGCACATCTCAGTGAGGTCCTCCACAAATTACGCAACACTCATGCAAATCTTCTGCTTCCAAAGCATGGAAGAAAAAAAGACCAAAAGTCAAACAGCAAGAAGCTAGCATTTTCAGCATTCTTAGGGCTTAGCTCATCTTTCACTTGGAGAAGGCTGAAATCCAGCCTATGTGAACCCAGAGTGCAGAATAGCTGAAGACTATAGGCAATCTGAGTAACATATGGGAGGAAGAAATGCATTCTGGGGAAAAAGCATTGGATCCTACAGAGGACATTTGGATCAAGATGTGGAACAAAGCCCAGGCTAACCTTCACAGTCACAGGGGATTCAAAGCCCAGTGTCTTCTGTTTCAAGAGTATCTCAAGAGGACAGTTAGTATAATTCAGTGCCAGTGGTCATAGTCCTATAAATAAGTCATGAACCATACAGCAAAGCATCTGAAAGCTTCTATCAAAGAAAATGTTCAGCTCTGCACAGTCTTCACAGCTCATGATAGCTGTGCAACAATCATTCATACTGTTCACACGGACAAAGCCCCATCAGCTCCCCCTTCCCTGCTTTGGTATTAACCACCTTACCAGGCACAGTCTCAGGACTTGGTTCAGAGTTTCCAATCCAGGTGCTTGTAGGCTGAAAAGACCATGTATAACCAGTTGCCAAGTCATGTGACCAACCACAGAGGTCTTCAGGAAGATCAAAGTTGCAGTTGAAGTTTGCAGGGAGTTGGAAATCTTATAAAAAGAAATAGAAGAAAAATAAAGTTGGATTAAAAAATGATCTACCCATGAAGGGGTCCTATTAAAACACAACCCAAAACTATAATAGCTGGCAAGCCATCAGTACCAAAGAAAGCATGAAATTTCACTCACACTGATGCTTTTAACCTATCTCACATTTCTTCAGCTCCAGGGATCAGCCTTAAGTTCTGCATCATCAAAATGTTCACACCACGTCCTGTGGCTAATCCACCAAACTAAGTAAATATAAAAGCAAGTACCAAATGCTTCCAGACTCTAATCAGCACCTCCTCTTCATTCCCTAGAGTGGTCAATATTGAATGCCTTTTTAAATGTCAGGGAAAAATGCTTCCTGAGTGCCCCATGCGCAGCAGTTCCTGCTTTGACTCCACAAGGAGAATCTCAAGTGCTCCAGAAACCCAGCTCCTGAGTGACAGATCTAGCCACTTGCACCAGACGGGAGCTGTCTGTCAATGTGGAGAGCTGTCACTCACCGCGTCCTACCTTCTCATGGAAATGCTACCAGGGAAAACGTGGGGCCACCATGAGCTCGAGCTTTTGGATTCTGAGTGAAAGGAGCCAGCCTCTATTTCTAGCTCTGCTATGGACTCACACCACATGGTCTTTGGAAGAGTCATTTAACTTTTCATCTGTGAAACAGGAGCAGAGCTAATTCCCCTGTGACAACAGCTTTGGAAGCTCTGGAGAGCTTTCCTGCAGAGACAGGGCTGTGGGCAGGCAGGCGCATGCCAGGAGCTGCATGTAGCAGTGAGGCAGCTGCTGGCTCCTTCAGTTGAAGAAAGCAGTCATAAGGCATGGAGACTGCAGAAATTGTCTGAATCCATCCCAAGCACTCAGCGGACATGCACGTCTGAGCCTAATTATAGGCCAGGTTTTTCCTGAGCAAAGAGGAAGTTTTAAATCACAGTGCCCACAAAGTGAGCAACTGCCAGAAGGTGAGTGACTCAAGAGATAGGCATCTCATTTGCTGTGAGGGGCAGAGGGCTTTTTTTGACATGCTCCCACTCCAAAATAAAACAATGCAGATCACGGATCCTTTTATTCCAATTTAATCTCATACCCTGGAGAGCAGCATTGTTTCTGTTAGGCTGTCATAAATCTGATTGTCCAGAGAAACACAGTCATTGTTTATGGAGTATAAGAATGAAAATTATTGCTAAATCTGAGGGAAGCTGACAGCGAGGCTGCTTCCACGCTCCACAGCATACTCCGCTTGCTCTCTTGCCCTGGACCGCACCCAGGAATCGTGGTGTTGCAGAGACTATTATTGGCCTAAATTTCCTCTCAGCAGTTTCCCAAGTGCCTCAGTGGTTGCATAGGCTTATGACTGAGGCAAAGCAACGACAATCAGGCCCTTTGAGCTACGTCTGCAACTTGCATTTCCAGAACTAAACTACAGCAGAATCCCAATGGGAGGTGTGAAAAAACCAATTAATGTTCTTTTAAAAAATTTATTTATTTAAAAATCCATTAGTTTTTTTTCACTGGGACTGAAAGCTGAAGTGTAAGAAGTCCTAGGAGCATCTCAAATGATGGCTTTTCCTCATGAGATTCTTGTTGAAGTCCTTGTGTAAATGCTCCAGTGCTGAAGCCCAGGCTCTGCTGTTGTGCCCAGAGGCATGCACGTCCTGCACACTGCGTTGTACAACTAACCTTGCACAGCTCTGCCAAGGCCTCGCCTCTTCATCTGGATATTTCACAAGCTTTAGATGCTCTCATCCCCCTTGCAAGGGGCAGAAGAATATGATGTCTACTTTTACAGGTAGGCATCTGAGGCAGAGATAAGCCTCCCCCAGCACTGGCTCTTAACAAGCACAGCATGTAGTCTAAACTGACATTCGGCGTCTACTATAGTCAGAAGAGGCAGGCAAGTGCCACAGATACCAAACCATTTCCTGTGCATCTGACAGCCATCTAAGACTGGGAGGATGAAATCCTGCCTGGAGTTAATGTTCCCCTCTCTCTGCTGCCTGCACAGGGAGCCCAGACTGTCCTCCTAAATTTTAAGCCACTGATATTAGGGAAGATGATCCTTAATGAGGTAAGTGTTCAGGACATCAGCCTTTGCTACAAGTCTTGATTTACTCCCAGAGTTGTGACTTCTGCAAAAGGAGCCCTGCATACAAGGTAGTCTCTCCTCTGAATTTATGACATCCAGTCAGAAGGATCTGGAACAGAGGTGGCTCTAAACAGGGCACTAAGTGAGTTTCTTCAGTTCATATAAGGAAGCTGGGAGCGCAGCTTTTCATGTCTTGTACCCTAGGGACCAAATTAACTGCTATCTCTTGCTCTTCCATCCTTCCTTGATATAACTTATCAGATTTTGTCAGGTTTGTTTATGGGTTGGTTTGTGTTTTTTCATCCTGGCCTATCACTAATAATATTGCTCAAAGCTTTCCAGGAATCAGCTCCATGTATAGGAGCTAATGGGAAGATAAGAGTATTTGCTTAGCTCTTAACCCATCACTTATTGAGATAAAGATGTGCTGCTCTGATACATACCCTCCTCTTCTCCACAGCTGTCACCACACTCAGTTGCTTCTTCATCAGTTGGGTATGGGGTGGTGGTCTCTTCGCTCTTCAAAGTGGGCACCAGTGTCTCTGCAGTGGGCTTTACATCTGAAAAAAATGGAGTAGGGATGCTGTTTGCAACAAGCAGTACAAGAAGCCCAGGTAGTAGAAAACAAGACAGAATATCTTTTTATCACATTCTTATAATGGCAGGAAGAGACTGAAAAAGAATGCTATGAAATTTCCACATGCTACAAATGTCAGCATGATTTGAACTTCAAGTGAACTGTCTGTTTCCATATGGGAGTTCTATGAATTTGGAGTTCCCATTGGACAAGGCTCTCCTCTAAACATACATGCTACTTTTTGTTTTAATTTTTTAATCTACAATCTACACTGGTGTTGGCAATCCACTTAGCTGTCATTACTGGATAAGTGAGATCACAAGCACAACATCTTTTTCATTCATAAAGGCATATGACACATTAAAAAACACACACAACATTCCCACCAATTGTGCCAATTTTTAAAACAAGTCACTCAAACCCACAAATGATGTAACTGCAAACGGACCCAGAGGATCCCCTAGTGTGCTGTGGCTCACTGCAGAAAGCATCTGGTTTCACACTTCAGGCTCCTGACTGCTCCTGACTATGCTTTCAAAGGGTCTCTTTCCAATTTCCCTTTCTCCAGTGTGGCCTGTGTGAAACAACCTCCAAGCAGGTGTCAGGGGAAACTCAGGCAAGAAAGAGAAGAATATTAAGATCAACAGTAAAAGACATTAGGCTCCAGCAAACTCTCCTTTTAAGGGTGCATTAACTGGAGTACAGCAGGCTTGATTCTTTCCACTTTTAAAAGGAGGCAGCTTTGCTCAGTTATGTGTGATTGCATTTCTTTGTCAGCACCCTTCAGGATATCATTTAATAAAGCCAGAAGCAGGAGGAAATGGCTAAATACATTGAATATTTTCCATAGGCTTCTTTATGCCCTTTTATTTTCCTGTTATTAAACATGTTGCACATAAACTCTTGGGGGTTTTGTACTTTTTTTCCAGTGGCTCTTTTGTTCAGGATAAAGTACCAAATAACCTCAAAGACTTTTAATTTGTAAGTTCAAACTTGTTACAACCCCATAAAACTCCAAACACAACCAAGAAGCAAATTGCAAGCAGCCAGGCACAGAAAAATGCCATAAAAAAGAAAGGAAGAAAAAAAGCAGCAGGTGAAGGCAACATATCAAAAGCTGCAAGTTATGTAGAGCTGGTACATTTTTTTAGGTTGTTGTCCCTGTATTTCGAGATTTATAGCTGAAAAGTGACAATGTGGAAGGACCTTGAAAGCCAAGTCCCATATAGGACACAGATGCTGAGCGGATGTAAATCAACAGTGTTGCATTGCCCTGGACAAGCCACAGAAATACATCTTGAAAAATCAGTTACCATGGCAGAGCCGCAACACGATGGTTACAAGAGATAATGAAAATAGCAGGCAGGACAGAGTCATGTGTGAAATGGAAAGTGAAAAAGAGAGGTCTTGCTTGCTCGCTTTCTCTCTTCCTCCCTGGCCCTGCAAGTGTCTGTGTGACTGGTGGTAACTGCTAATCAAAATGCAAAGTCACTGAGCAATTGAAACCAGATGTTTGGAACTTCAAAGGAGAGAAACCCAGCTGCAAGTGAGCATTCATCATTCTCCACTCTTCAGAGGAAAAAATTTGGCAGGTCTTTGAAAGAAGCCAATTGCTGACTGCCTGCTTCCCAGTTTTTGAGTTACTAGCCAAGTAGTTTGTGAGCCCAGTTGTGGCTGTTACCTGTTTGACGCAGTTATTGCGATGCTTGTTGCTGGTAAGAAATAGAAACATCTGGGCAGGGTGCACATGGGCTTAGACCCTCATTTGAAAGTATTTTCAATCAGCTTGTTCTAATCCACTTCTTAATCTTTTTCTAAAGCAAGTGCAATTGCCTGGGTTTTCACAGCCAGTTCTGTAACATGCCTGGGTCCTCCCAGCAAAGGAGAGCCGTATCTTGGCATTGTCAAGGACTGCTACGTGTAGCCAGCCTGGATTAAGCATGCAGATAATGCCATGGGCTATCTCTGCTCCCCAGGTTGCATCAAGGATATAAATGTTTTTTATAACATGGTGAATCCACAAGATTACAAGCCCTGCTCTCATTACAAAGCTGAATGACTGCAGATTAATAAAGCTACAGATATTTATGACTTGGCAGTTGAGGTTTAAACATTACAATGTGCAAATTATTAGCCAGACTGGGAAATGACCATAAAGCACCCTGTCTGGAAAAAACATGGGCTGTTGCTGCTAATATTGAAAGTGAGCAGGGACATAGCTGTAAAAGAAAATTTGGACCAAAAATAGCACAAGAAATTGAGGATGACAGACCCCTTTTACTCTCTAATTTGGAGGAGCAGAATGGAGGCGCTGACATACACATGGAGGTCTTGTGTGACTGCTTCCCTTTGTGGCAGTGCTGCACCAGTCAGCAATGGCCTGCAGAGATCTGGCAGCTGGAAACTCCTGGGAGCTGCAGCAAGCAGCAATGTGGGAGCTGCGTGACCACTTCTGCACAGAGCCTCAGCTCCTGCTACTTGCATAAAAGCCATGGCCCCTGTTTGTCCTAGCATGTTGTCAGATTTAAATTAAGATTTAATCTTGATTTACAGTTTAGATAATTTACAATGGATTCCCAGTCCAGGGAGATATTTACCGTTGAATTCAAAAGTAACAAATTATCATTATTAATGGTGTGTATGTGTATTGTGTGATTTAGTGTTAAGTGTTTGTATTGCATCTCACAGCACATCACAGGAGGAAATAGTAGCAAAGACTCCACAAGAGGGTAAAAAAAAAGCTCTGTTACTTTAAAGATTTCTAGAATTGGAATTCATGGAAGAAAATGCCTTCTACAGATGTGTTTATAAAATGGAAATCATACCTCTTTATCACCAACATCTGGACACCAGATTCAGATTTAAGCAGATTATTAAAAACTAAAATAGGTTAAAAAGGGGGACAACTAGCCCCTGGCACTGAAAAGTTAGCATCAGACCCAATGACCTGTTGGGTGCATTTTTTGCTTTGGGGATGAAACTATGGAGCAATCAATCACCACTGAGCCTCAGAGGGTCAGAAGCACAACCTCTACTGATCCTAGTGAGTGTATTAGACAGTTTTCTTCTCTGTTTTAAAAACAATGGTGGCTGCAAGGCAAACCACTTGTGAAAAACAGGTGGAAAAAAGTGAGCAAACTTCCCCGGTCTTAGGAATGCTGTAGAGATGTCACAGCATTGACATAGAGATTGCCCACCTTGTCTATGAAAGGATTTCCACATGGAGTTCAGTGAGAGAGGGATGGTTGTTTTTACAGCAAAGCCTTGTTGTGGTAACTCAAGATACCTGTACTGGTCACTGCACCCCCCTTCCACACCTCTGCTTCTCTTGCTACTTTTTGTCTTATTTATTTGGCCTAAAAAGCCCAAATATTATCTACCATGGATACTGGGAAAGCCTACACAACATCCAGATGAAAGATCTGAAAGGAATGTGAAGGGAGTTGGGGACTGTGTGAAACCTTGGAGTCCAAACATGGCTGCATCCTGCATCAAGGCCAACTCTTTTTATAGTGGAAATAAAAAGATGGAGCCAAGCCACCCTGCTGGCCCTGCCTTCATGGCTGCAGTCTCCCTGCCATGGTCTGGCCCCAAGGTAGGACAGCAGAAGGAGAAATAACCTTAAGTTTGCACCTTGCTGGTTTAGTGCCTTCTGTGGCCCAAAAGCAGCCAGTGGGCAGAGGTGTAGGGGTTCCTACCTGTCCAGTCACAGCCCAGAACCTCCAGACGCATTCCTATTCCCGCTGGGGACCACCTCTCTGGGTGCACTCGGATGTACTGGGCAGGAACAGGATCAAACCTCCGGATTTCAGGGATATCGTAGTGGATGTTGCCTTCAAAAAGCTACAGAGAGAAAGACAGAGAGAGAAAAGGCAAGAGATATGTGCATCTTGCATGCTCTCTAGCGGACTTGATATTTTGGGTCTGGCAGGAACTTAGTCACAGTTTGAAACAGTTTAGGTATCCAACTCCAAGTCATCAAGCCCAGTTGAGCAGAAATTGGCCTCTTCTTCCTCAGTTTCAAGAGGACCAGACAGACTATTTCTAAGAAACTTGCACAATCTCTCCTGGCCTCTGCTTATATCCAGATTCTGATCCAAGCCATGCAGGGGAAGTTTGGGGAATATCCACTAACTTCACATATAAATGAGATCAGATTTGTCCTTTGGTAAATAAAGAAGCTACTGCATGTTCTAGGATAGTGTAAATGCTCAGTTTTCCTCACAATCTAAGTACTTCTGCTTTTCAGTTTACATGTACAAACTAGCCTGTGGAGAATAAATGGAGGGCGATAGATAGCATCAGCCCTCATTTGTAGGATCAGGAAAAATTAAAACTTACCCAAATTTTAATGAGAGAAGTTTGCATAAAAAAAGAACAGGCAGTAGCAGAGAATTCATTTATTCCTCAAGTCCCCTGCCACTCCCATAGTACTAATCAGAAAAATTATGGGAAACTTCAACAATATGGGAAAAATATGAGGAACTTCAGGGTCACACCAGTGTGGCAAAGGGACTTCAAATATAGCAAATCTCCCAAGGAGAAGTTGTGATTCATCTTCCTCTTCCAGAGGTGCACACCATGACAGCCACTCCTTTTCCTTTGAAATACATAATTAGCATGTGTCAAATATAATTGAACACACCATCTTGTAAGCTCTGACCTGCAGGAGCTGGGAGAACCAGAAGGTGATGCCCACATCACCAGGCCTGGTCCACAGTAGGAAATGAAATTGCCACTACCAAGGCAAGGTGGAACCTACAGCCTCTAGTACAGATTAGGAGCAGTAGCAGGGGACACAACCTGGGATTTCATGGTGACGACCCAAACTCCCAAGATCTCCGTGGGGAGAAGACAGCCAATTTCTTAAGACCCCATCAGGCAGACTGAAGCTAGCCAGAAATGTATCTTGTTTTGCAGCTGCTCCAGGATGTGCCTACCTTGGCTTGCATTGTTTTGGGGTCCTGGATGAAGTCCCAGTCCTTTCCATTCATGCTGTAGGCCACCTTAAATTTCTTCACAAAGGAGCGGGACTCGGTGGTGATCACACTGTCCCCTCCACGAGCCCCCTGGATAATGACGCCTTTGATATTCTTTGGGACACCAAGGTCCACCTGCAGCCATTCCTCCCCAGGCTGGGCTTGGGGCACACGAGGAAACCATCCTGAGCGGCTGCTCACCAGGCGGGCCATGCTGGGAGACCAGTCATAGCCTCTGATGGAAGAGGCTGAGATCTGTGAGTCAGGAATGAGGCCAGAAAGCATTCCCAGCAAGCTGGAGCAGGGTGAATCTGCAGGGAAGGAAAGGGCATGAACCGTCAAAGGAGCGTGAACCGGGTAGTTGAAGGGAAGCACTTGCAGTTCTCCCCACAGCTTTAAGCTCTGGACACTGAAGCAACACCAGCACTGGGCATTTCCCCCTTGCCTCTGGGACCTGGGTGCCTCCATGCTACTCATAGCATCACTGTTCCCACCCCAAGCAGCCACGACAGCAGAACGGAACAGCATGCCAGGACAGGCTGTTGGACGGACAGAGAGGAGGGCTGAGGCCAAGGGGAGGAGGGGACCCTCACCAGTGATGCGGCAGCCATACAGCTCCAGCCTCAGGGCAATGCCATTGTGCCAGGTCTGGGGACGGATACGCACAAAGCGCGTGAGCACTGGGCTGTGGATCTTGTTGAGAACCACCTCCGTGGCATCCTCATTGGCCTGAAATGTCTGTAAGGGAGAGAAGACACAAATGTGGATACATCCTCACTAGATCAGCAGTCAAAATAATCTCAGCAAGGAAAACCAAGGAAAGGCTCTCTGGTTAGGGCCAGCCTCCAGCCAGGGCAAGCACCTAGGGGCAGGCACGGGGATCTGAGCTGCTGGCAGGACAGCATGGTGAATGGACTCACCTATCAGGCAGGAGACTCAGAAGTTTGCTGCCCCACTGCCTCTCACAGCACTCTGAGGTACCTCAGACTATCACACCATAGTTGCTCCAACCTTGCCCCCAAGCCTACAGCCACTCCAACGCAAACAACCAGATGTCCTCAAACACTGCATGAGATCTAACCTCCTCTCCATGGGTAAACAGACTGACATTCTGACACATCCTTGCACTGAACTCCACCAGGAAACATCACGTACAAGCAGTGGCGTGAGCAGGGAGGATGTCACCTCTGCCTGAGGTTACAAGCCAGCCCTTTGCCTCTGCCTCTCCTGCGCCCAAGCGACCTGCCACATGGAGACAGCCTGCCACACAGACAGCTTCGAGAGAGAGTTTATGATCCAACGTGGTATGAAAAGGCTGCTGTCTTACCAGATGGCCATAATCAATAACTACCAGATGGATGTTAGATCCACCCCTTCTGCCCATTTTTTTAATAGGCTGGACAAGGACTGGATAGCTTTTCTGTTTCAGGCTGCAAAGCCATAGCAGGAAAGAAAAAGGAGGGAAAGAAAATATCCAACCTGAGGGTAATTTTCAACCCTTTCTCTGCCCCAGCATAAAGCACTAAAGCTCACAGATCAAGGCTGCTCTTCAGGACAGGGCTAGAGCATCCTCCGATCTCAGTCAGGAGCTGCATCCACACTGAGATACTGACTGGGTTCTTCTGCAGGCTCCTACCCTGCATATGAGTGCCAAGCACAGGAGCTCCCACTAAGTTTATCTCAGACCAAAGCAGGAGAGTGTAATCTCTGGCACCAATCTCCCGTTGGAGGCAAGAGTCAAACAGTTCAGCTGCAGATCCCTGTTATCCAGGACAGAAAAAGGGGTGAGGCAATATCTTGGCCCCTTGCCTTGAATAGCAGTTAAGAAGCATTTTATAATTCTCCCATGTCTCTACTCTTGCAGATGGCACATGTTATTGCTCTTCTCCCAGGATCCAGCGTGCCAGGGTGTGCAGAGGATGTTTACAGGGAGGGACAGGGGCTGTTCACAGCACTCCAGCTAGCACATTACCGCCCAGCCCACGACAGCAGCACTCCTTCAGCTGGAGAGCAGCTACCCCACAGAGGGACTTGGTTGCAAATCTGGCTGGTAACTGGGATTTGGGATCGCTGTAAATTTGAGGAGAAATGCTAATCTGGAGAATATATATCATGCTGCTACTGTTTAGCAACACAGTATGGTTAATGTGTTTTTAATATCCTACTTTATCCTGTCTGACCCCACATCCCATCCTTTTCCTTGCTCAGCAGACACCAAATACCCTTTTTACCAGCAGGAGGGCTATAAGAAGAGTGGTTACTGTGAAATGCTCTCCAGGAATGTATGTGTCTTGTAAACCTGTGGGAACACATGCACACACACACGCAGACACAGAGTCTGAACTTGTACATTTCCACACCACAGCAAAGTCTCCAGCTTTATGCCAACGCTGGAGCTGACACACAACACCTTACCTCTGAACCTAACACCGGAGGACAGGAAATGTTTATCTGAGCAGGTGCAACTATTTTAGCACAAGGAGAAGCACATCAGGTCAGCCTAAAGGTTCCTCTGTCCCAGGGGGTGGCTTCTGATGGTGGCCCCTGCAGATGCCCAAGGGCAGCAAGTCCAGTGGAGTCTTCTCCTGGCAACCTCTCTTCATTTCTCACAATCAGCAGTGTAAAGACTCCATGAGCCAAAGGTTGCATATGGACCCGCATATTTAACAGTCATTGATGAGGTTTACTGCTCTTTTTGATTTAACGTATTTCAAGTTTTCTTCTTTTTTAGCTCACTTCATGCATACGAGCATCAGGGGGCCAGAATCCAAATTTACACCAGTGTAATTTGTTGCTGACTTCTGCACAGTCAAGTTTGACAGAAAGCAGAAGCAGGACTCAGCCCGAAAACTTTATCACTACCACATGCATTGCTGAAAGCACCTCTTACATGACCTTGGTCCCAGTCACTCGCTTTCAAGGAAGGCAACCTCAATTCTGCTTTAGATTTAGAAACCAGTGATTTCCTCAGGCTAGATCACACTCAACAAGCCATGAACTCTGAAATGGGGCCTTGATATTCCAGATGGCCAGTCTGTGAGGGCAGAAGCACCACCTGACTTCTAGCTCTGCTCTCAGCTGCATTGTCAGGATCTGCTCCATTGAACCTTGTTTCTGAAAAGCCCCAGCTGATCACAGGAAGTCATCACTTCCCACCCCGTTCAGAATAACAGAAAGGGTCCATTTTCAGAGGGCATGTGCTTATTGCTGTTAGAGATTTGGGGGCCTGACACCTGCCTTTCAGCCTTCTCAAGAGGATATGCATTGTGAGCTTGCAGGTCCTGATGCTGCTGACCAGGATCTGACCCTGAGTGTATGGTTTCTCTGCATTGAAAATGCCAACCCCAGAGCCTCAGTGCACTGTGGAAAGTCCCATTGATTTGAACAGGCTCTACATCCTGCCTCAAATTAGCACTCGCAGCATAGGAAGAACTAGCAGGAAAATGTGTGAAATTGGGAGTGCCAAGAAAGCAAAGATTTCTTCCCCCTTACCAAAATAGAACATTGCTATTCCTCCCATCCTATCTGCTTCCCATCCCACTCAGCACATATTTTGAGCCAAGTCTTCGAATGGTGCAAATCAACATATCGCCATTGAAGTATAAGAAGTCACAGTAATTTACACCAGCAGAAAAAAAAATATCTGGCTGTGATCTAGGGAGATAGATAGATAAATAGATACACACTCAGCAGAGAGCACACATGCGTATGCACATGAACACACACTGAAGGGTGATGAAGCCAGAAAACAAATGGGAAAAACCATTAACAATTAAAAGCACCTTCCAAAAAGCAGTCAAGGGAACTAATTTTCAGTGCTGCCCATCGACTCTGCATATACTATATATTTACTTCTGTTTTAGTCCAGACAGCAGGTTTACATGAAAATTAAACTGATAACCAATAAGAGCTGACCTGCTTAATTAATTTGCTGCAGAAAGCAAGTGGTGGGAGATGATGTCTAGGCTAGAGGAGGACTGTGAGAGTTTTCCATGTGCGCACACTTGCAAACTCCACACCAACGTTTACAAGTTGTATTTCTGACATGTTGAAACTGCCATAGTGATGGGGGGGGATTTCTGAAGCTGCATTAGTTCCAGTGGATATGGGAAATGTGCCATTGGCAGTTTGGAGTGAAGGCAGTGAAGGACAGACAAAAAGTGCTGTGAAGTTGAAGAGGCAGCGAGTCAGGGAGGGGGTAGGAGGTAACCTCTCTCCTGCTCTATTTATTATGCTGCTTGGCCACTATGCAATTGCTTGGGGAGCTAAAGAAAGCAGCTGGGGGAGGCAGAGGAGAAGGCCAAGGACGGCAGCAGCCCTGCCTTCATCCTTATGTATATGTCTCTTTGGACCCACTAGATTTACTGCAGAATTATGTTACTCCCGTGGAGACATAGCCCTGGAACAGAGCATGCTAACAGGATTAGGGCTTCAGGATTTAGACAGAGAAGCATGAAGGAGAAAAGTAGGGGAGATTATTTTCCTTGTCAGATAGGGAAGGCATAAAATGGGGCACGTTTGATGGTGGGAGGATTCTGGCTCAAGTGGAGGGTGGATAGTTCTGGATTTATTAAATCCAGGAATGAGGAGTTAAAAGAAAAATGATACTTGGCAACACTCAACAAAGCACAGCGTCTGGGCAAGGCAGAGTGTGCTGGGCTGAGCTTGCCAGCTCCATGTCTTTGAGAGGCTCCACTCAGATTTGGGAGTCCTCAGGGACACGAGGAGTGGCACTGTGTTAGCCTGCAAAGGAGATATCAGGCCCCGAAATATGAAGTGGCAGCCTTGCTAGGAAAGTCAGGGCTGTAATTCTCATAATTCTCCCCTGGTACTGCACCAAGTGTGAATGTGCAGGGCTGCCTTTCCCAAAGCCTGATGTCTTTGTCCTGCCTGCAAAAGCAGCAGAAGCAGGCTGGAACCTGGATGCTTCTGGGCACATCCTCTGCACCATGATATCTCTGTGCAGAAGCACTTGTAGCCTTCTGGCTGATCATACAAGCTTTTTCTGAGTTTTCCAGATACAAAAGCCACAAGACTGAAAGCTTTTCACTTGTGCCTCAGCTGAATGAATAGAGGAGACCTGATTAAGAGCTGAAAAGACAGAGGAACGCTCCTAAGGAAAGGCACAAGGGTCTCCAAAGAGAACTCAATATTCCCTATCAGCACCAAACACCTCTGGCATCCCCAGTTCCATGTACAGCTAAGATATTTGGCTCTTTGCAGCAATTTAACCTTTGTGCATCCACCACTTGAAATACCACCCAGGGAAGTTAGCTGATAACAAGCATAAAGCCATAAAAATGAGTAGGAAATGGAAAATGCACATCAGGTGGATCATGCTACCATTTCTCATCCATTGACTTCTACAGGTTCTGAAAGCAAAAGTTTCAGTTGCATCCTCTCATTTTACACACAGAGCAATGGAGGCAATGAGAGCACTCATCACAGTCCCAACCCACCCTGAATTCTGAAATGCATCCTGTCGCCCTGCCCCTCACCACACTAAATGATCCCCGAGAGCTGATCTTCACAGTTACTAAGATGGAACAGCTCAGACCACATGGGAGCTGGAACCTGAGACCCTACAAAGAAGGAAGTAGATCAGAATGGATGAACACTTTGTTTTCCAAGAAAATCATTATAGTTGAATCTGTCCAAAGAAAATGGACAAAAATAAAAGGTCAGATCCTGCCAGGTGCTCTTTTCCTTCCTTGGGTTCAAGAAGAGTTGTTGTTTTCTAAAGACATTTACAAACCACTAGATAAGATCTCAGCATGAATACCAAAACCACTGCCTGGGATAACCTCTGGGGTCATTAGCCTTGGGTGACAAAGAGGTGGATGCAAGAGGGAGGTCAAGAGCCAGACCAGCATTTCTGCTGCAGGGTTTGTTTGGCCCTGTCCCAGGGGGACATGCTGGTGGATAGTAAGAGGTGAATATGGGGCAACATGTGGTGGTGGCCACTCTCCTCCCTATCTCCTCTCTCAGGGGACACACCACAGGAAGACAGCTCTGCGGCTTTGGCCAGGTTGCTGGGTTAGCCTCTTCCCCTAGTCCCACACCCAGGGAAGGACAGAGCAGCACTCCCTGGATAGAGGGACATCTGGGTGTGCTGAGCTGGGCTTTGTGGGGAGTGGGCTGCCAGGCACAGGGAAAGTCTGTCAGGGATGGGGTGGGAAGGGGAGGGTGTGAGAGTGGGGTTCCACTCCTGCTGGCTGCCTTCCCACTGCCTGCCTATCCCAGAAACACAGTAGTGCTCAGCAAGGAAACAGCCCAGCCAGCCCTGTCTGCTGCTAGCACATATTAATCATCTTTTCCTCTGCTCCATCCTGCCTTTCCCATTTCCCTCACTGTTGAGTGCCAGCAGCTGGGGACTCAAAGGTGAGCCATCACATATTGCAAGGAAACACCCCTAGCCCCATTCACCTCTGAAACACCAGAGGGAGGAGAAGCAGGGGGCAAAAGAGAAAAGGTCAGAGCTCCCCATCCTCTACAGCATCATCCCCTCCCCACCCCTCCTGCATTCACTGGTTCTCTCTTGCTTTAGCTCCCTGATGAAGATGTGAATGTTAGCTGACCCACCTCTGTATAGCAGAGCTTTTCTTTTGGCCCACACAGCCAGCAGAAATTCAGAGCAGTGTTCGCTACACCCCATATGCCTATGTGTGCATGTGCATATATATATATATATATACGTGTGTGTGTATATATGTATGTATCTATATATATGTATATATCTGCATGTATATAGAAGAGTAGAGAGTCCCTGTCTGTCCACACCTTCCCCTCCCTCCCTGTTCCTCATGGCACCAAATCAAGCTGCGGCAGACTTGACAAATCTATTTGGCATGGTTCACTCCACTGTTGCAGCCTGAACTGCGTGGAGCACGGCACTGACTCATGGAGGAATCTGCACCTTGAATGCAGACATCTGGGAGCTGGCTTAATGCAGGAACAGTGGAGATTAACACGGGCAGGGAATGTGGGGCCAGTGCCTCCCAGCACCAGGTCCCTGAGCAAGTGGCTTTGCCCTGGCCCCACTGCAGCTCAGCAGCTGGTGGCCAGTTGTTTGGTGGTGAAGGAAAGCAGTCACCTGGATGCAAGGGGTAGGTGAGTCACCAAAAAGCAATTACTTAACCCCCAGCCTTGGGAAGTGTCTGCTAATTTAAGGCCAGAACGTGGGAACAAATTGAGACTGGAATAAAGGAATGAAAAAGATGAGGCTTAATTTTTCCTCTTTTTCATAAAAAAAAGAAAACAGAGCAGAAAAAAGCTGACAGGACTCAGGGCCAAATCCTGAAATGGTGGCAATTCATGTGGCTATGGGATTGCTTTAGATTGACACCAGCCAGGCTTTAAGGTCTTGCTGGAGCAATGTAAATTGGCTCAGCAGCAGTGAAACCAGCCATGCTGTCCTGCTCCACCCTGGCTGAAGATCCAGTGTCCAGCACCCAGGACTGCAAGGATATGACATATATTTGCCTCTGAAACTAAAACCACCTTCCAGGCTGGATTCCCACTCCAGTTAGACTCCAAAAGGTAAATTTATTGCCAGTGGTTATTTGAAACACTGAGCTGTATATTTAGCTCATCTCCCTGCCTGGCATGTTGCCAGACTCTTGTCTCCCTCAGCGTACAGAAACAGTCCCAGTGAGTCCTCAAACTCACCATTAGCACAATGTGCCTGGGGTGAGGAGAGATGGCCCTGGCTCACAGAAAGGTCTGCTGTGACCAGTGGGTCCTGGGGGAGCACAGAGCCTCTACATCACTGCATGGCCAGCATGTTAGAGTTATACATGAGCTCTGCCATTAGCTACTGCCCTGGAGCCAGCCCACCTGAGATCTGGGGGAGCCTGGCTGCTGACTCTCCTATGTGGTGCTGGGCTGCCCTGTGCCTCCATTTCCCTACCTCTAAAATAGGACTAGCACAAACTTACTGGCATGCAAGGAGCATAAATACTCCAAATATTGGAGGTATGAGACCCTGATAGGGGCCTCTGCAGGGAGAGGACTCATTCTGGGAAGCAGAGGGAATTTGAACCTGAGACACACTTGGGGGAAGGGGAAATCACACAGCCCGGAAGGGAAGGAAATGTCTGGATGAATCCTGGGCAAGGCAAGCTACTGCATTTCATGCCAACAGCACCTGTGCCAGCAAATGGAGGGGACAGCTAATTTAATAGAATTGCTGAGCAATCAGAAATTGCCGGGATGTGCATATGGGGGGAGGTGAGTGGGACCCCAGCCACAGAGTTCACACAGACAGACTATGGCATAGCAACAGGGAGGATCTGAACATGACAGCAGGCTCGGTGGGCACCACAGGGCAGCAGGGAAGCTCTTTCTGGAAGTGCCCTTAAGCAGAGGACAACCACATGGCCAAGGCAATTGACAAGAAGTACCAGCCTGGCACCACAACTGCCTTAATCCCCCTCCCCATACACCAAAGCTTCCATGCAGACCACCTCTAGTTTATCTTGCCTGGCCATGCAGCAGCACCTGCAAGGCCTGAATCAGCTGAACACCCATATTTACCCTCCCTCCCCCTTGCTCCTACCTCTGTGTGTGTCCCAGAAACACACCAAGAGCGTGCAGCAGCTCCTGGGGCTCATTGCAGCCTTGCTGACCGTGCCTGCTAGCGCAGATCCCACAGCTCTGGCAGCCTGAATTGCTTCTCATTATTTATTGTTCATTTTGTTCTCTGGGACAGTGTGATCGTCTCTTAGGAATTGTGCCCTTTCATTTCCAGGCCTCAGTAACTCCTGAACTACAGTTTCATGTGGTTTTGTGATTGTTAACCCAGCATGCAGACAGGTCTGCGGCCATAAAAACTCAATGAATCTAGTATGGCAAAACACAGGCTGTGAAAGCATTTTCTCCTTCATTTGCAGTCAAAGAACATACTCTCTTCACCACGAAAGATGCAGCAGCAGCCAGGTTTTCCAAGGAATAGTGTTTCCTCATTGCTGTGCCCAGGAGAGAGGACTATTTCTGCTCATAGCCTCATCAGTCTTTTAGCCTTCATCAGAAAAAGAGTCCCTCACAGATTAAACCCTCTGGGCCTGTAAATTCTCTCTATTCTCTTCCCTCCTGTTGGCTCCTGTAAGACTCAACAAAGTGCAGGCAAAAGAGATAAAAAGGCCTTTACCTTGTGGTTTTTCCCATGTCGATACATCATCCAGTCCTCCCCATTGGTGCTGACCTCCAGCTTGTAGGTACGGACATAGTAGCCATTCTGGGTTTCTCTGGATATGGCACCCTGTGTGGCAATGGCTGTGAGCACAGTCAGGAAGTGGAGGTCCACCTTTCCAGGGGAAAAAGGGACAAGAGAGAAAGTGGTGACCACCTGAGAGCCCAGGATGTCTAGTTAGTTCCTCCCTCTGTCTCGGAAAAACGAAAAGGCACAAATTCAGCCTGTTTCACTCTACCTGTGGGCACGCAATTCAACAGGCACAACCCAGCCGCCAGCTGACTTCAGCATGATAGGACTATGGGACAAGAGTAACTAAGCTTCTTGTTGTCCATTCATCTGGGACCATAACAAAGCCTTCTTCCTGCCTCAGACGAAGCAATAGGATTCGCACAGAAGTTCATGTCCATTAAAGCAGGACAGACTGACTTTTTCCATGTAAAATAAAACCATGATGTCCAATTAGCAAGTGCTGCAGTTCTTGGTTTTCCCTTGTTATTTTTTGTTTTCTTTTTTTTACAACATGGGTTGAGAAAGGTCAGCAGAGCTGGCTTAGTAGCCCTGCCATGAATGAAGAATGAGGTGTCTGCTAGAGGCAATGACATTCATCACCTCCCGCTCCCAGTGCCCTTTAGCAAGCGGTGTCTCCCGGCAATGTGACGCAGCCAGAAGCTCTGTGCGGACAGACTGTGGCTCTAACCAGCTCCCAGGGAAAGCCTTTGCTCTGTCAGCCCCCACCTGACATTAGCCCACTCATGCTTCCTACATCATTGATGAGATAAATATTATTCTATTTGTTTTTCCAGGCACCCTCTGGAGACTTTGGTCCTCAGGCCAGTGGCAGTCAGTGGCCCTTGTAAGTGGCAGAGGTCTCTCTGTCTTTATCAATATACTGGAAAGTCCATCAAGCTTTTGGGCAGGACGGAGGAGGCGGGAGACAGACAGTGGGTGGAGTCAGTCCTTGTGCGGGCATGCTGATGGATAGCCAGCCTGTCGCACTTCAGAGGCACTGCAGCTCCCCTACTGCTTGCTCCCCGTGAGCCACAGAGGCAATAAAAAATTCAACAAGCCTTATGGTCAAGGGTCATTTTAACAGCATGACATCCATTTGGTGGGGGAAGAGGTGAGGGGGCTGGAAAGTGTGCATACCTGGAGGTACTCTTTGTTGCTGTCTACATTGGGGGTCCAGCCATTGTCATCGCTGTTGAGCCGGCTCTGTTGTGGGGTCCATCGCCCACCTGAGTCGGTGGAGGAGGCACTGATCTGCATGTTGGAGATCCTGCCAGACTCCATCCCCAGAGGCACATTGCACTGAAAGTCTGGAGCAGACACACACACACAGAGATCAGTTCACGGTCTCAGTACTTCACTCCCAAGTGGAAGGCAGCCCTGAACTAATCTCCCCAGCTAACCTTGAGCAAAGCTGTCTGTCTGAAAAGATGAACAGATCTGCACCATCTTGCAGGTTGTGTGTGTTCACAGATGGCATTGAAAAATTAAAGATAGGGCAGCTTTATGTTTGCATGGCCCTCTGAACACTAACACAGTTCAGATATTTCTCCCTTTCTCTATCTCCTTCACCTTTACTCAGTTTTGACACAATTCTGTTGCTTCCCTCCGTCTCCACCAAGATGTCCCAAGTCCCCTTGTCACAAAGTTTCCATCTTCTTGAAGGCCGTAAGTGAAATCTAAGCTCTAACAAGGGAAGGAGGACAAGCAGGCACATCAGGAGGGTTCTTACTGTTCTGCTGCTGGCAGGAATGTCAAGGACTGGAATGGGCACATCTAATGTTTTTGTGTACATGTGAGAGTATGGATGCATGTGTGCATGTGCCTGTGTATATGTGCATGTGCTACATACATGTGGTATCAGGTCCATAGCAATTAACCAGACAAGACTATGACAGACTCTGGTATGCTTTCATTTGGGTCTCCTCACTTCTAAGGCTTTAAAAATCACCATTAGTTCAGTTTTATGGCACATGGCATAGTTTTTATGGCAGCTGTCCTGTAAAAACAATAGCAAAGAAAACATTGAGAGGAAATACTGCATTGACCCAATGGTGTTGCTGCTGTAAACCAATGGGGCTCCACCAAACTGCCTGTGTTTTTAATGTGGCCAAGTCAACCTTGGGTGGAAATGATGGGCTAAGTTAAGATCTCAGTGGTATTATTAAAGTTTCAATTTACACCACCATAAATGGCCCTTTAACAGTTCTTATGCTTGATTTCTCAAGCTTCCTCAGTTGTTAACATCTTATTTCCAAATCCTTTTAAAGAACAGAATAGAAAAGGGATTAAAGAACAGATCAACTGAGTGTGGAGATAGGAAATGGTGAAGAGCCTGTCTGTAACTCTCACAATCCTCAACAGAACATCTCTTACTGAATCACAGAGCAAGAGCCTGTAACCCTGCTGTCTAGTGCTGCATAACCCCTACTCTACCCTGCTCGCTGTCATAGGCTTTCAGTGTCATGTCAGGGAACACCCTCTCTTTCTCTGGGACTGAGGGGTGTCCTGAAGGCTTATTCTGTTGTATTACAGGTTCACTGTGAACTGAGGTCAAGAACAGTAGCTCTGATGCAAAAATACCATGGGAAAATAAATTGAACCATTCCTTGCCTGCAAGCATTATCACAAAGAATCAAAATGCTCTTCATTCTCAAAACACACAACTTACTTTCTCACTCCACATCAATTTGCATCCCTTATTAAGGGTTATAAAACAAAGTTTGGTTTGAAATTCTTAGAGCTTTAGGCATTTTTTAATTAGACAGCCAGGAAATTCCAATTTGTGGTTTGGGGCTGTAAAATTTTGGAAAACTAGCAGGAGGGAGTACATCTTTTCCCCCCATGCTTTAATGAATCTGCTGCACATGCTGGGCTGTGTCTTCCCCTAAATCCTTCGGGCAGAGCACATACATGAAGGATTCTAACCCAAAAGGTATTGAGAAGACTTCATGGACAAGTGAAAAATCAACAGAAGGTCAGAAAATGTGATTCTTACTGAAATCTCACTTCAATTAGAAAGAGAGGACATGACAAAGTAAAACTCCTACCTGCACTGATAAGGGACCAGTCCCTGAACACACTGCTACCTGCTTCACTCTCACATGTGTCAAATGAAAGATGGGAAAAAAAGGTGACATAACTAAGTCATACACACACATTTCCAGCTTACTTTCTGGGACTTCATGATGGATCAAGTAGTACTGAGCAGAGAAACCGTCCTTAGCCACTGCCAAGTCCGTGTGGAAGGTGAGGGAGAGGACACCAGTGGTCGACCGGATGTCTGATGGCATCTTAGTACCACAGTATCTGCCTATCAAGGGGCCAACTGCAAAAGAAAGAGCAGCAAAGGTAATGCCTGCTTTTCCACTGGCCTCCTGAGTCACTAGCAGATTGGCATGACTCAGCAGGGACACCTTAGCAGGACCAGTTGGGATAAAAGAGAGGCTTTGGGGATGGGCTGTTTTTTATATCTGCTGGCCTCGTGCCAGCAGAAATACCCACTGCAGCAGGCACTGCTCTGTGATTGGTGGGAGATTGTCTGAAACACACTGTTTCTTGGTGTTGGTACAAGGCAGGCAGGTCCTCCCAGCATTGCATGAACCCACTGTCCATCCCTGAGGGAAGACCAGTGGTATCCTGGAGTGTTCCATGGGGCTTTTCAGATCAGTGGTTACAACAGAGCAGTAGTGTGGGGTTTAATGCATGCAGCCTTCTGCAGGCACACTGTCCCCAAGCTGGCCACGGAGCACCCCGATGGCAGGTTTCATGCTGCAGCCACCTTTGAGGTTAGGCACCTTTGGTGTTCAAACACAGACTGAACAGTTTTGGAGCTTTGTGAGACATCAAGAAAGGCTGAGGACAGCAGCATAGCATGCTATGGCATACCTTGAGGGATGCCATCCCAGATGTCCAGCCAGTCATACTTGCAGTCTTCTTCCCCTGACTGCAGTGGGTCATGCTCGAGGTCAAAAAGCACAAAGTGGAGGAGGATTTCTGTCTTTGGCTTGGCTATGATGGTGAAGATGCAGTCCAGGTTGTGTGGATACTTGTCAGGGAAACCTGGAGACTCAATAGTGCCGTTGGAGGCAGTGAAGTTTCTGGAGCAGTCCTCAGAGCCTGTAGCAGTAGGAAAAACCCCAGAGACTTAGCAACAATGCAGCTTAATGGCAACAACACTGCAGAAAACCCATTTTGAGCTTAGCAGTGTTGTGTATTCACTTCTGAAAATGTCCTGTAGCTCAAGAGCTGTGTGAATTCCTGCAAGAAGCAAGAGGGTGATTTTCAAAGCTTTCCACAGGTGGAGAGAGAAGGTCCCTGAGGTCACTGGAGTAGACAGCATGGTTCTAAATTCTTCAGACAGCTTTGCAAACGTAACCTGTACACCACCACTGATCCCCCTGACAACTACCCCAAAACCAGGAAGAAGTGTAATCCCATCCAAAGCTATGGCTGCAGTTTGGCAGGCCAGCACCCTGCCACATCTCCCACACCAGTGGTGGTAGAAAAGGAGGCCACACTGAGCTGGTGAGGCTTCCCCACCTGGCCCTCTCCACTGTAACCTGACTTCCAAACAGCGATCTGCCAGCAGACCTGCCGAGGGGCCAGCCAGCACACAGGAGCTACCATATGAAGTCCTCACTGACACAGCTGCCACCTGCAGCCACACAGGCAAAGGACCACAGTGGCTCCAGGTTGGATGGAGGAGCTCACATTCAGGGAAAGGGCTGCCCAAGATGAGGAAGAGAGGAGTAACAGGATGTAATCTTTTTTGAAAAGCTGTTCACAGAGGTCAGCCTCCTGCAACCTTAACCCTTCCAGCACAGACAGCTCTGCCTCAGTTTCCTCTTGAGAATATCAGGAAGCACAAACATTTACCCAGTGAAAGGGCCTGGGGGAGTGTGCCAATGTCTTCACTGTTAGCTGCAAACCCTCAGAAAGGGCACAGTTAGCCTGTGGTCCCCCAAGACCCACGCAAGCGATAGGGGCCAGCTCCAGCATATGTCCCCACAACAAGGGCAAGAGTGGGGGTAACAGGGGCCATGGCAGGGGGTTCTCTGTGGAGAGCAGGAACAGAGCCCTCTTTTTCACAGAATGAGCCATCCACACCAGAAATGCAAGTTATTTCTATCCTTAAGGAAGACCTATGCGTGGCAAGGAGGGCAGACAATGTTGCCTCTTATTTACTGCTGACCTCAGCACTGGCCTCAGCTGTAGCCAGGCCAGCTCCGTGCCCCCTCTCATACAGCCAAGGTGCCTCGGGGTGGCCTGGGAAAGGAGAATTTGTGTCGTATTCATACCACGGTGACTTTGAAACCCCTGCATTGTGGAGACAGGACAATATGCAACAGAAATCTGCAGCCTGGAGCTATCAGAGGGGAAAGGGGATGTTAGAGAGACTGCTAGCCACCGCTGCAACCCGCCACTAGCATTCACAAAGGTTTCTGCTTCAATTTTACTGGGACACTTTCCTTCTCCTCTACAAACCCTTCTGCTCCAGCTCTTCCAGGCAGCACGAGCCTTCCTGGGACTAATGGGAGACTTGTTATTCAATTCAGCATTAACCTACAGGAGTCAGGCCAGCAGCCCACAGTAATAGCAGGATCTCACACTGCATTATGCAGTGCCTGGCTGGAGAGCTACTCAGGAGAGGCTCTTAATTGACTATCTAATGAAGCAGCCAGCTTTTCTGATGTGAACCTGTGGGGTAAAACACAGAGGCAAAAAATAAGGCCAAACACAAATCACAGCATAATGCTGTGAACAGGGATAAGGTTGTACTTCATTCCAAACAACTTGAAAGACAAACACATAAATAGGGAAAATAACACAAGCTCTGAGCTAAGGAGAAAATCAAAGACTGAACCCAGAGTCAGGGTCTGTCCTCTAGAGACAGGAGAGAGACGTAACTATGTCACCGCATTAGACTACGGTTTCCTCATGTGGGGCCCTTATCGCATTTGGCATCTCTGTCTACAGTTTGGCTGATAACAGCAAACACAAAGCTTTTTATAAGGAAGCTGCAGATAATCAACGGGAGTCATGCTGGCTTCGGCAGCACGGGCCAGCCTGAGAGGAGACTTTGATGCCCAGCTCTGGAGAGCTCAGGCCAGCCCTGCCAAACTGACTCACAAAGGGAGCAGCAGGGAGGCTGGACCAGTCAAGGCAGGCAGCTCTTTTGTCAGCCCACAGACTGCTGACTGATACCCATCAGGGGATTCAAAGACTGGTATGCAGTTGTTTGTATGCAGATTACTCTTCTCTCACACTGTGATAAGGGAAATTTAGCACAAGGTGTGGAAATAAAAGCTGAAGGAGCTGAAATGTTGAAATGAGTTGTTTTTTTAGGTCACCTTTAAGAGAGAAAGAATCTGCAGCCACTGCTGCCTTTACTGATGTGGACAATGGCAATCTGATGACCTTTAAAGCTGGTGACACCCTTGCTGGTTACCCTGACAGCTCAGATGGAAACTTGGTCCGTGCCTGTCTGCCTACCAACAAAAGGCAGGGTTTGCTTGTGCTGCCGTAGCCCCGCAGCCAGCACTGCCCAATGCCCTCCCTGGGAGCCCCAGCAGGGACAGGGACTGGGCAGATGTGGGCTGGGGATACTCCCAGATCACAGGCTCATTCATGCTCCTGCCTTGCCAGGCTGGATTTCATGGGCTGTGGCTGGAAGAAAGAATGGCTGTTTCTGGAGAGGATGGCTGCCTGCAGGGGCAAAAGGAATGCCAAGACCACTTCAGACCTGAGAACCATACTGCAGGGACCTACACTGAGGGACACAAACTCATCTCCAGCCTCCATCCAATACCTGCTCTCTTCCAGATCAGCCCTTGCTTCCTCTCCCTCCCTCCCAGGAACAATATCTCATTTTCCCATGAATTTGCCCCCTTGCTGGCTCCCACCCAGACAGGCTTCCTGCTTATCATCCTTTCTCACAGCATGGCCTGGCCACCTCAGCCAGCTGGACCACCCCACATTGCCCCATACCCCGGCTCGGGACACGGAACCAATGTGAGGTTAGGCACAATCCAGCGCAGTCTTCTGGGCTCAGAGATGGTGTGTACGAGGAGCAAGAGGCAAGGGGGGCTGAGGTGGGTTAGTGGTCTTCCCACCTGTACACAGACATTCTTTGCCATCCTCTGTCCTGGCAACTGGCCTCAGCAAACCCCAATAACCAGCTGAACCACTAAACTCTTTCAGGACCAATCTGCATCCTAATCATTAACTAACAGCAGTGGCGAGCTGGCTGCACAGCAGCTCAATGGCCAGTTATGCAGCCCAGGCAACCAGCAGCAACAGCACTTTCCTCATCTATCTGAAGATCTCCTGTCCTCATCATTTTGCAATGAATTTAGGGAGTCTCATTCCCATTCTCTTGCAGCAAAGTCTCCATATTCACATCTACCGGTGGCCAGGTTATGGGCTGTCTGTACTCCTCTGTCTGCCACACAGCTGGGCCAGAGCCCTTGGGCATTGGTGCCTATGCTTCCTCCCCACCTTCTTTTTAAAGAGGCTGGGTAAGCAACCCTGTTGTGGTTATTTCTGGTTCTTCACCAGGCATGGACTTTTTTTTTTTTTGTGCTGGATGCAATGACATGAAATCTGCATGTGTGTTTTCTTCCAACACACTGCCAAAGGAATATGGAACAGGGCAGGTGCTGGTGTTCCAGCGTTCCCTTGGTGTGCTGACATCTCTCTCTCATGCACACAGAGTGGAGTTTATTTTCTCAAGCCTCCTTCTTCCCAGACACAAAATTCTGGCAAATATTGAGACAGAAAGATTATTAAAAGGCCTTTGAGCAACTATTCCTTTCCTCAAAAAGAGTTTGGTATTAAAAAGAATTATGAATACTTCTTATATCTGCCTGAAAAGGCACTGCCTCAGCCCTTGACAGCATTGCTGACAGCAATCTCTTGAAAACCTAAGTTCCCGAGTTACCAATCCTGCTTCCAGGGAGAGAAAACTCCGTCATTGATCAGCCCTGAATTGCAGCTCCACAGGAGGGGGAGCTCCATGCGTTTCTAACAGAGGGACAATTCCCTTTTAGCCCTAACAAGCTCCACCATGCCGGGGAGAAAAGATGTATGTTTCTATTCCTCAAATACAAGAGAGCATTTAAGGAGGAATCCTGCTTTTGATGCCACACTGTGATCCAAAAATGCACTGTCATGTGCCACTACCATCTTTACCTTCTTGGAAATGTGATGCACAGACTTGCTTGAATTTTTTTTTTACAAAAAGAGAATCCTTTATCTCTGGAAAACATGCTAGAAATCACATTGAAAAGGTGGTCAAAGACACCTCCTTGTGAAGGTAATTGTGACAAACAGCCTGAGAGACAGGCACTGACTCAGACACTTACCTGTCTTGTAGATCTCATAGCGCAGAGAGAAGCCGGCACCTTGCCGTGCATAGTCTGAAGTGAACTTGATATAGAGAGAGGGGCCAGAAGAGATGATGGTAGGAGGTGCTATGTTCCCACAGTGTTTGCCCAGCAGGTCTGCTGCTTCACTGTCCCCATCTCGGATCTCGATGTAGTCATACCTGTGGAGGCAGGTGAAATGGCAGTGAAACCATCTGTCGGGGAGACACTTCAGGTTGCAAGGAACAAACAAAAAGCACTTCTTGATAACTGCAGATTTCACAGAACATCTTCCAGACAGGTACCTGGGACTCTCTTACTCACACCACACCACAGCCCTCAATACATTTTTTCTCTTTTGCCTGGCTATATTTAAGTGCCTTCCTCTGTCGCAATTTACATCATTAATTTATTGCACCAACATCCACTTCAACTTCAGAGCCAACATGCAAAATTTAGGACACAATTTACCTCTATTTCCATAAAACTCCTTTGGCTCAAGCTCAGATACACCTCTCCTGGGTCTGCTCTCCTCCCCTGACCTCTCTCCTGAAATGCCATTGAGCTATTTGGCACAGCTCACTTTATTCCAGTATCCATGTGGGATTTGGCCAAGCATGCACCAAGCATTAAACAGTCAATGCTCAATCATGTAAGCAGGTAGCTATTTTGTGCACTGACATCACATTGGTCCTTTAACAAGCATGGCCAGTACACTCACTTAGCACTCGGACAGTAGTACTGATCCTCTCTATCAGGTGCTAACAAAGATTTTCTGTGGATGAGAAGTGCTGTGTAAGAGCTACATCCTGTAACCTCAAGCTGCCTTTGCTAAACCCTTCTTGGAGATGTTCCCCCTGCCCATTGGTATGACTCTGGGGTATCTGACTGGTCTGGGGGAGGAGTGTGTAGGGTTAGAATAATAGCCTCCCGGTACAGAGACAAAAGCTTGTTGCAAAATCTGGCTGAAAGGCGGAATTCCCACAGATCCCTTAATATTTTCTAGGCCATGACTAGGCAAGGTAGTAGTATCAGGCTCTGCGTGCTGTGAAGGAACAAACAGCTTTTACATGTACATCTTGTTCTTCAGCTGCTTTCTAACACCCACTCTCTCCCGCCCCTCTCCTCCTCTCTGGCCAGCATGCTGCTATTTAGAGAAACTGCCCATCTCTCTTTGACTGTTTATTTGCTTTGTATCAACCTGTTTGAACAACATGCTATAGCTCTTCTCAATGGGCCAAGAAGGAAAAAAGTATTTCCAGGCTGCCAGCAATCTGCCTTTCTTCTTTGTCACAAGATCTTCTGTTTGGGAATGGAGAGTTGAAAGGAGAAGTAGCTTGCTGGATACAGAATGATCCTCATGTGACTCATTCCTGTTCTGAAAAGCCCATATCGGCAGGCAGCAACCTCAAAACAAACTTACAGGGACTTAGTGTGCTCCTCCACAAAGAAAGATGGCCTGGACAGCTTTGGTTTCACTCCTTTCTGGGACTAAATCAGGCAGAGATCCAGAAGCGAAATGCCTGCAGAAAAAATCCTGTCTACGCTGGACCGAGCACTCAACTAGCTGCAATCACCCAGCCTTTAACTTCATTACAGACTCAATTGGCTTGGCCAAGGTGAAATCCAAGCGGTCTTGAAAAGTGGCACTCGAACAGGAAGCGCATTTGGCTTAGCTGGTGTGTGGGCACACAGCGATGCAAATGAAGATCTGCTGCCTCTGCTCTCTTCTCAGCTCTGCCTAGCTCCCTATCACCTT